CATCTACGTCATTGTATGTCTCTGTGCTAATAACCGTACCTCAGTCACATGATACATGCTACGAGGCTTGCACGCGAATGATTCAGCGCATCTGGTTGGCATGTGGCCAGCAGACGAGTTCACAGTCTGGTGAACAATGACAAGTCATATGAGCCGGACGTCAGTTCCACTCTGTTATCACACCAATCTCTCTCTCTCTCTATCGTAGTAGGCACACATCGTCGTGACTATTGTCGTTAACACGCCTTACAGAGTTGTTTCTTTCGGGGCGGTGTTTTAATCTTGCCCGAATTCGTTTTACAGCGAAACTGATCATTGCTTTTGTTTCCACGACTTTTCATGTTCACATGGTGTACACACACACACACACTTGTACTTAGATCAGTGGAATCGAATGGTTTCTTTCCAAATCACATGAATGATATGATGCACAATACAGCTTCAACATGATATTAAAAAACCCAGTTTGTCTGAATGTCAAAGTATGTGGCTGTACAAAGAATTCAGTTCACTCATACCTCAACAGACGTGCTGTGGTTTTCTGGTTGTTATCCGTGACAGTTTGTGTTGAAAAAAAACACAGAAACAACCGAGAAATCCAGCAAAATAAGACTCATCTATTAGCGGATGAAAGCGATGAAATCATAGAACTCACCTAAGTAAGAAGCTGCGCAAACGCTGTTATGCGTGTCGTCTTGCACTTTACCTGTTTTTCGCCGAAACGGTTTCTTTTCCGAGTAACACGGTTCCTCTTCACCTTTGTGCACCTCGTCTCAGTTTGCAAAGCTCGATTTCACGCTGCATTTTAATTTTGCAGTCCTGTGTACGACAGTTCTTAATCTGCTTCCTTGATCGGGTTCAACTCAAGGCCACAGCCCCTTTTTATGACCCCACTCTAACATGTAGCTCACCTTCCCTAGCTCAGTGCGGAGAGTTAGCTTCCTTATCCTTCTCCTGTTGTTTACTCGCTACTCTGGTTTTCGTTCGCCCGAAATTCTCTCTGTTTTGTCCCCCGGTTCAGTGGTTATATCCGTTGCAGGAGCAGCTCTTCACCAGTATTCACTGACTATCCCTAGGTATGATACTTTTGATTTATAACAGTCCTTTCTCTAAATTATTGGAAGTCTATGGAACGGTCTTCTCTTCCCCCCCCCCACCACTCCCGGCAACTGTGGCTTGTTAACTATCTGTGTTTTAGTCCTAGAGAATGAACAGAGTTGCTAATCGCGGTCTGTCCAGCTTATTTTGAATTTTTCTGTGAAATCGGAAACGAGTAGCTCTCTGAACCCCAACTCGTCGATCTCAGATGGCGTATGAACCAGTTCAGTCATGGGGGGGGGGGCTGTTTCATTAACCTTCAGTTTGCGGTGCGTCATATCAGTGTATTTGAAAAAATGTGTTTGCCTGAAATAGAATTCTTCGGGGAATATTCCTTCTGTGTTGTTCATGCCGGTGCGTGTATCAGCTTTTTGCTGGTAGTCGCAATTTACAGCTGCATTTGTTCAGATACTTCAGATAACTTATAAGTACCGAGACAATTTTACCCTTGATAATTCCTCACATACTTCCCCGTTTCTCTTTATCCGATGCCTGTGGCACCAATGAGCCCCGAAAATGAACCTATACAAAGAATGGGATTTACAGAGAAGCAAATCAACGCGAGGAGAATGTGAGTTGTCAACGGGGCTGTTGTGAGCGTAACTCATACCAGAATCGATAGGAAAATCACACAATTTATTGATGAAAGAATCCATGAAGGGAAAAGTGAAAGGCGGTCAGTGATAGCTTAACTGCGACAACGAAGAAATGTGAAGTTGTTTTTAAGCGAAGGGATTATGGAACTGTAAACTTTCAAACACATCTGTAAATGGAAAATGAAAAACGGTCCGATCAGCTGCCCGGTGGCCGAGTGGGTAGCATGCTTTTGTTATGCCCATGATGCCCCGGGTTCCATTCCCAGTTGGATCGATGGATTCACACTGTTGATGAGATCCAACCAGGTCAAAACAGCTGTTCAGTGCTTCCTATCTTTTCAGTTCACGCTTCATTTGCCATATACACGATGAACTTCACCTTTGAAAGAAGAAATTGCTGATTGTTAAGCACTGCATTGGGATCAAAAGTATGCGTGGCATTTCGTCTGCTAATTAAACACAGGGACTGGATAGTTTTTGCTTAAAAAATGGGACAACCGTTAGTATACGAGGATTTAGTGGGATAATTCAAACACGAAAGAGCAAGTTGAGATGAGGGAACTTGATTCAGGGATAAAGTCTTGAGGAGCAATGAGTTTATCGGTTGAAGACTGATTTAAAAAGCGGTTGTGGTTGCACATCATCAGAATATTTTATGGGTTGGCGAAATGAAGAAACAGATAAATCCCTCATGTAAGTCGCGAGTTAGGAGGACAGCACTATGATGTTCATAGAAGTCATTCACTATAAAAGAGAGTAATTTCTCACCCAACTCACATCTACTGCCTTGAATGCTCGCAATAAAATAATTTCTGGATCGTGGAAGAAAAAATATTGGTCAATCAAAAAGAAACTAATTTCCGAGGACGAAGCAATCGTTGTGTTGATTCAAATGTAACAGAATAATCAAGAAATAAATAGACAGAACGGATTTACCAGAACTATCCAGAGACTCCTTGATGAAGTGGACGATAAAAACGCACTGGCAATGTTGTTTCGTATCGCATTCCACGAATTTTTCCACGCAGTCTGACTTGCCCCCACATGAGTGCAAATCACTTGCAGCGGGGCAAAGATCAGAGCTTTCAGTCTCTGTCGACGAAGCCAAAGATAGTTTGCCACCACCAGTAGAATCTTTTCTGGCATTCATGGTATTTATTTGTTCTCCATTGTTTTTCTTTATCATGCTGATAATTGACTGTAGTCATAATCGTACATGAACTACACTAAGTGTGAAAATTTTTCAATGTGAAACACGTGAATAAACTTTTGAAAAAACCCAACAGATTTATACCTTGAATCGATTTAGATCAGCTGTAACCCAGTTAGATATTAATTCGGTATGGCGACTCTGTAAACCCGTGACAAGACTGTGAAATCATGAATTTTCCGTTGAGGAAAAAGTTCAATCTCAGTTTTGATCCGCACACACACTCTCTTGTGTGGGTCTGTCAGAATTCAGATTGTTTGCTAGATTCTGATGAGTGATCTAATTGTCATCAATTGCCGCAACCTTGTTTCACGGGCCCTTCTTGTCTGAGCCGAATGAATTGTTTGCTCATCGACCGTTCCACGTTTTGTGTTTCTCTGTGACACACTCAAGTCTCGTGCTCTCAATCCTTTGTCTGTCTCCCCGCGACAACAATCACGGATGCCGTCAGCGAACTGTTTTGATGTTCCCACCAGGAACGATTACGCTCCCGTGTGTTTTGATCGATTCGGTACTCTTTCCAGCCGGATTGTGGATTGCATGGCAATTGCGGCAACACATACACATCCGGTCAATTTTCATCATCCACGAAAAACATTCGGGTTAATTTACGCTCTGTGTTTTCAGGCTGCTAGTTCATCATTCCGTTGCAGATAGCGGTTGTGTTGTTTGCTTTTGGTTCGTCATGGTTCGCCATACCAATTGGAATGGGTGCAAGCACACACACACACACACCGCGCTACAGCCCCGGAACACTCATGTCAAATATCTTTGGGCGTAGCTGTTGTCAAACACGCTACTATCGTATTAGAGTGTGCTCGCCTAGAGTCACGTTATTTACTTGTTTCCGACCGAGAATAATGCAATTTCTGCGCGAAGTAAGTAATGGTTGATAAGATGATTTGTGCAACAGCGTGCGGCACGTAAAACGCTCAGCTGTGTGCAGTCTATTCCCTTTTCAGATCGTATTAGTGTATGTAGTCTGTTGCGGGTCACTGGAGTAGCGAGGAGGATTCGTTCAGGTGACTCAATGCTCATAGATTGCTAAGGCTATGTGAACTCACTTAAAACACTTTTGTGTACCCCCGGCGGCCAGTTCTTTCTCTGTTTTACGCTCTTCATGTTGTTCATTTCGGTTCACACTCGTCCATATCGTATTTCTTTGCTCCTATTGGGGAATCTATTGTTCGGGCCTGGGAGTAGTTGTCAGAAGCATGTTGGTTGACCAACCTTTACCCTTAAACTTAACTTTGTGTTCAGAATTGCTTGCTTCGGAGATCGCGTGCAACACGCGTTTTTATTTTCATCAGCATCCATTTCCTGTCGTAAACAGCCCAACATTGTCCGTCCAGCCTTATCATGAATCGCGTGCAGACAGTAGTATTTAACCCCTGGTAGACGATTTTGTCTTCCGTCGGCAACCTACTTTGGGTGTGGGTGATGCACCACACCAAGCTGATGAACCCCTTTCTTTGCAATTGAACGCATTTAGGAACATAGCGGGTACAATTAGATAGACTGTCTTCGGGAGCGCTGTTGATCAGGGATATGGTATCAAAACATTGTTTTGTAAACCCGTGCAGCTGAAACTCGTCCATTCGTATGAAGATTACCTATTTCTAACCCTGTTTATCTTGTTACTATCTCCCTCATGTATAAAAACAATTATCATATTATTACCGAGTCAAAAGATCGACTCACGAAAGTAGTTGGATTTACCTTTGATTGTTTGGAGAAACCAATTTAAATGGTGCCGTGAATCGATTAATGTGTTTTTCATTTTTTGGTTGATCGGTCAATGTTTTGCCGTTTTCTTTATTTCATAGAACAGTTGCCCGAGATTGAACTGCACTTACTGCTATTAGTTCTTTCTCTGATTGTCCGGGTATCCGTAACGTTTCAGTTATTTCTTCGGATGTCTTGAATTATCAAACGTGTCTGCTCAATCGCCCTTGAGCTACACCTTTTTGCAAGCAGGTGTCTTTGTGCTAGCAGTCAACAATTGACACAACCCTGTCGATATGCATGTGTGCATAGGAAATGGATATTTGCCCTTTCGACTCTGACACAATTTATAATACCGTCCATTTTACCTTATGAAGATAAAGCTACTATTTTTAAATTTTATTATTTCGTTTGCAGAAAATCTCGTTCCAGCGGAGGATTCGATATCCAAACTGACTTTGAACGCCTCGGATCGGGAATTCGCGGACACGGTCCCAGTCATTCGTGTCGCTTTGCAAGGTGCACGTTGTGAAACTCAACCGGTGATCTCCGTCCAATCTGTGGTCTCACGTTTGGTAAGCTGTTGCTCTTAGCGACCACCCGCACCGGCTCTCAGTCGCGTTTGTGTCACTTTCGGTATTCTCTGTTGTGTGTTCAATTGGAACCCTGATTCGTTTGCACAATGCAACGGGTTTGAGGCCCGAATCCCCCTAGTCGCGGTTATCTGGTTTATTGTATATCCTGTCGTGCGTACTAAACAGTGTGATCCTTGTTCGTTTAATGCTATCATAAATTGACTGCGTGTGTGGCTATTGTTCTCTCAACGGGTCTCGAACTCAAACTACTGTATTGAAAGCCTTTGCGCACACAAATTGGGAACTCAGTGTTATTCAGTTTTCTTCTTCTGTAAACCCACGAAGTGTGTCCTTGTTTTGTTCGGCCTAGAAGTGATCAGGTAAATCAGGTATGGCGCACGTCTAACATATGAACTAAACTACACGGATCGGGTCAAGTTTGGCGATTCCAACCAACAGATGGACCCAGTCCTCTGTTTACCTCAACTCTAGATATCACCTTTTCCCGAAAAGTAGCTCACGGGCACCAATTCACCTTCCCCGTGTCATCTGATATCCCTTCAACTTGATAACATTCAATTATTTTTGTAAATCACCTGTGCAAACAGCAACAATCCGAATTGGAAGTGCGTAGCGAAAACTTTGTATGAACTGAGTAAGGCTGATGCAGTTGGTTACCCTGTTGTTTATTGTGTTCCGGTACTAGGATCACATGTGGTGTGCAGTTAGATCCCTTGCTCTGCTAACATTTCTCAGTCAATTGCAAGTATTGATGGTTGATAATTCACCATGTGAAAAGGTATTGCATGGCTGTGAAATTGCGGAGCGCCCTTTCACTTCGTGTGTTCCCGACAATCCACAATCTTTCTCTTCAGATTGGTTCTCGCTTGAATGATCCCCTCACGTCTCCTCTCCGTTACCGTAACTATGTATTCGACTGTGAGGTTAGCCCCGCTCACTGCGAATCGCCTAATATGTTATAAAACAGACTCGATATTGAGGAAAAGCATACCGGATATTTGGGAAAGTACCTACACCGTTCCATATAGCTCCATTTGGGAGATGCGAAAAAAATTGGAGAATGTGCATTTATTTTGCAATTTGTATCACGTAACAACTCGTTAATCGACCGCGCACATCACGTCTATCAGTACCTATCAGTGGTGATACACGGGTGACAAAGTTAACTGTCCAACCTGAGGTTTCTTAGCTTGTTTGTTACTCTGTGTTNTTGACCATAGGGGTTCACTTTCTTTCTCCGTCCCGCGAAATATACCCAATCTCTGTCGACCTTGTTGTTCTACACCGTTGTCATTGTATATATCCGGTATCTTCAGACAGGATTTTTGTTTCCTGACGGATCTATATTCTCTCGCACACGTAGTGCTGTAACAGAAAAAAAACAATTCTTTTTCAATAAATGTGCATGGTTTCGTATGATCTGCTTACTCGCACCAAACAAAATGCCAGTTTCCCATAAAGTCACTGTTCCTTATCCTTTCAAAAAGCCTCAGTGTTTTCCAGGATGTGCTGCTGGGAATGTCATATGAATTTTCTTATTACACTGGGCATGTTTTTATTGTAATAATTTGTAATGGTATTACCGATTTCCTCATTTCCACTACTCGACGACCGCTGTCACTTGCATGTAAGAGCAGAAAATCAGGACTATATTGAGGTCAATAAACAACTGAGTACCATTTCGGTTAGGATAACTGTTAGCCTTGGTATTATTGCCTTTAAATTAGCTCCAAGATCCCCTGGTTGCCACAGTCACTGACTCGATAGCGGATGAAGACTTTTCATGCTGTTGATCCGCGTCTTGATAACGTAAACCCTGACTGTAATGATAACGTTACCCAATAAACTGCTGTTTTCAGCCATTTTCCTATTGTTTTGCCTTTGGTTTGTCAGAGGCTTTTATTATACATATAAAATAAATTCTATCACTCAGTGCCCGCCTTCTCCTTTTCAAAATGTACATATATATAAACCACTGTTTACCGTTAAGATACAAAAGAACTGATGTTTATGCGTCTTTCACAAATCACCTGCCTTGGCCTGGGCAATCTACCTGAATTGTGCCTACAAACGATTCACGAATTGATTTCCTTCCCGTTTAGATGTTCTATTTGATGCACACACACACACACACACACACACACACACACACAGTCCACGTTCAGACAAGTGTTGAAGACATACATGTAATATAGATCGGGTTCAGCTCCAGTTTGTACTACCGTTATCGCTGCACTTCAGCGCTGTACTTCGGTTAATGTGTGTGTGTGTGTGTGGCCAGTTGCGCCGATAGTTGAAGCAGGGTCCAGAGAACTAAACGAACGGCTGAAAGAATGATGCTTTATATTGAATAAAAAGCGTGATATACAGTTGAGGGTTAACCTAACAATCACAAGGACTCCTGTACAGCGTTGATGGGGGAATGTTCCTCCAGAACATAACTTGTTGATTTCTTATCTGAATATAGGAAGAATTTGGAAAAAGGAGATGGTTAATGGAAGCAATAGGGAGTGTGTTTCACAATTCCCCGAATTTTGCACTAAGAGGATTTGAACTTCACTGATTCGCAGTTTTTAGAGTCACCAAGGAAGATTAATTTGATGCTTGCGGCCGGATCTCGTGAGGCAACGAATTTTGACCTGAGGGGTGCAAATTTATGGAGAAATCATTTACATGGTCAAGGGGAATCGATGGATGTACCAATCGGGCTATTTAGAACACTCAATCACATACAAATGGAAGCCAAACTACATTATACCAACCGGCGACGAGAAGCAATCCCGAAATCTGCTGTCATTCCCACTTGATGGAAATTTCGGTATCCCGCGATTGTCTGTTTTGCCGCATCTTTTCGTCTTTCACCCAGCCTATCCCTCATCGCGTGTACGCATTCTCTTTGCTCTCGGTGAAACAGAAATTTCGCTTTGTTGCTATTGCTACTAATTGAACTGAACAGACTTTGTGCTTTGTGATTTCGGGCACTATCGATCATCGAATGCGGTCAATCATCAAAGCTGGAACCACCACAACGGAAGTAATGAACATGTGTCGGACGTCCGCGATTTTGCCTTGAGTTTTCCATGTCTTTGGTTATTGTTGTTGTTCCCCAAAAGCCGCCCCCCTCTCACACTCAAAATTCCATCCCGTCCGCGCACACACCTCCCCGTTTCTGCTTTCGCGGCTGAATTAGTCTTCTCTCCAGTTCCATTTTGTGAGTTGTGTGTACGGACAGAATGCGCGATCGGTTGGATCAGCTGAATTCCAATACCAACCAGTTGTTTTCTCCCTCACTCTGCCGTGTCGCATTCTCTTGTCGTATCGTCGTTCTGTAAACGCACGCAACCTCCAGTTGGGAAGATCTATTTGGCCTGCGGTTTCCATAATGCAACTCACGCCAACTTGGTTTATATATATATATCCGAAGAATAAAAGAATTCTCTTGATATCTTCTCCTGGTTCATTCATGATCTGGCGTCTATCAACCCTCCTGAACGAATGTGATTTCCCTTGGACCTTGTGATCTGTTGCCGGTATGTCAATTCAAGTCACCTGACACTTTATGCACCCAAAGGGTCAGTGTTCAGCAATTTACGAAGTTGTATACTGGATATGCATGTAAATTTCTACTAAAGGAACCGAAAATAAATTCGATGCTTTAGTACAAGAAAATATTCTGATGCCAGAGTCTTTCCCTAGGGTTGGTGACAGTTGTCATACAAGTAACTCAGACTCTAGCCAGATATGAAATTTCATTCGTCGTTTGCAATCTTTTGTTCCCTCGGTCCATCTTTACTGCGTTTGTTGACCAACTGGACTGTCCGAAAAGATGATTAATTCACTGATGTGCCAGGCTAATATTTGTACAATTCAACTGTTACTTGGAATTAGTGAGTTCGATTATGTAGCTCTATTGATGCGGTTCCACCGTGTAATTCTCAAATTTTCCAGTCAGCCATTCACCGATTAAAGTGAAGATTTTGCTTGGAAGTGCAGTCAGAACTGTGGTCACTCGAGATCAAAACTAACTGATTCCCATCGCTCCCGATGAATAATAATGGTGGTAAAGTGTACAATGTATTTCCCGCACGAAACGGAAAAAAATCCTCGCGTGATATTCCAAACTGTTAATCCACTCCTGCATTGGTGTTGTGCGATTCCCTCGTTTGTTCATCATGCAATACTTCCGCACGATTTTTCACACTCCGTTCTTCTAGCTTGTTGTTGGAAGTTGTACGTTATGTCTAAAGTTTGCGCGTATGTTGATTTCATAGAATATTTCCCCGCGTTGTCGCAAACACTGAGAACTCATGACTTTGCAAGCGACAATTGCTGCGCATCTCCCTGGTCTATCTATAACTTGTTCGGTTTAAGCTGTCTCTCGATATCGATTTGAGATCGGACAGTATTTTGCGGAATACAACGACAAGTCTCTGTATAAACGGACTTGTTCATGTGACACTACACATTTCTGCCCTGATTACGAACACCAACGGGACGGTCCGGATTAGTATGGTGGCTTTTGAGCTCCGCGTGCGATGAAAACGACCGGGAGATACTCTTCCCACGATAGAGCTTTGTATGAGTTAAGCGGTTGACGTTGTTACGAGGTATCGCTCACATTTGAGTTGTATGTTTCAAGTGTGTAAAAGAACGCGATTAGCGGTTTCTGACTACGGGCAAAAATGAACAACACCTCCCAGAGCAGATAAGTGCGTTTGAAATTGTAACCACAGGAAGTGCACGTTTACTAAGGGAGTGCTCCATCAATTATCCTGCGTGCTTGTCGAAATTATGATCGGACTGTTTCGGATGAGATGCTTTGATCTCTGTAACCCCATTTATCCATACTCGTATTGTTGTTCCAACTGAGTAGCTCTCGTCAACCCCGCACTTTTTTTTGGAAACATGACACTGTGCGGTGTACGATACAGCTACGTATGTTCGGTAAGTCCGACTGTAGTTTATCATCTGAGTTCCGT